CTGGAACACACAGGCTGGGTAGAAATCCCTGCCTAGTCTTCATGAGCTGATCAAGTCTTTTCTCCACCTCTAGATTCCTTTTCCTAGAGTCCTTCAGATTACGGACGACATGCAGGAGTCCTCTATGAAACACGACTGTTTTCTCCCCGAGAGAGGTGACCTCACATCCTGGTGAAGTTAGGCCCCGGCTTAGGTCCAATGGGCCTGGATCCTGGTTCTGCCACCTGCTAGCTGCTCACCTTGGATGAGAACACTAAATGTCAGTTTTCTTCTCAAGTACCTCAAATAGCTCTAGTGAGGGTCGAAAGGATAACACAGAAAGAACCGTGCACTCTTCCTGCCAGTGTTTCATCCTTAGCTGCTATAAACAGCGGCCGCACCATCTTCGTGTACAAATAAGGTACACAAAGAATGCACACAACTTAAGTGCCCATCAACACACACGCGCGCGCGCGCACTGTGGAGTATTTGTTATTCAGCCATGAGAAAGAAGGAAATCCTGCCATTTGCATCAACATGGATGGACCACAGGGTACCGTACTGAGGGAGGTAAGGAGACAGAGGAAAACTAATGCTGCATGATGTCCTCAGCTCTGGGATCCGTGTGGCCTCTCCAAAAGCTGAACGTGTAGACACAGAGAGTGAAATGGTGGTTACCAGGGGCCGAGGGTTTAGGGGAATTGGGGGGATATCGGTCAAAGGGTACAAAAACTATTACAGAAAGATACCTGAGTAATTGCCATGTTTGCCTTCTTGCACCTGTTCCACAATAGTGAACGTGTTCATGGCCACTTCCCCTACCCTCACCTACAGCCATTGTGGCCTCATACACGGGAAGCTACCTTTTAGGGGCCAAGACCCTTCGAAACGAAGGTAGAGGGGGGGTGAGGGCTGTTTCACGGGAAAGGGCTTCGGGTCTGAACTTCCAAGGAGGGCTGGGCCCCGAGTTCGCTTTCGGAGGAGGAGAGAGTCACACGGACCCACCAACAGGGGCAGGCTGAGCACACAACCGGGACAGGCTCGTGTGGCGTCTCCGTGCGGCCCAACGATGACTGATTGGTTGAGAACCCAAACACGGGGGCCCGTCTCTATTTGCACAGCTGGAAAACACTCCATTCGCCGTGATTTCTGAAGGAGATTCAGGCAGCGCTTATTTAAAATCTTGGCACACTGAACACGAGAGAAGGTCATCATGGCTTTATAGCATATCTGGGCGAGGCGGCCCCTCTTTTCAGTTTCCCAGCTCACTTATTCATCCAGCAGTATGAACTCGGAACTGTGTATTCCACAAGCCGTCGTACAGTGGCGATGATTGTTTTAATGGCTTTAAAACGGTTTGCTGCTTTGCCTCATTAGGGCTGTTTCCCTCAAGATAGGACCTAGTTATGCATAAAATGAAACAAACCAATGAGCTCCAGGCCTCTCTGGATTTTGCTAGTAGACGAGAGAAGACAGAGAACTCCTGCAAGGGGTATAAACGTCCCCAGACATCCATTTCCAGGGGACATGTCTGAGGTCCACTGGCTGAGAACAGTCTCCACGGCTAGCAGACTTGCAAGCAAGAAGTTCCATCCTGACAGTGGGTCCTCACCCCCAGGCTGGGAAGGTGTGTGGACCCCGACTGCTCCTGCTCCTCCCCGGGGCCACTCTGGCCAGGCCCGGCTGGTCTGCCCACAGGCTTCTCCTTGGGCTCCCCTGGGCTCTCCTGGAGTCTGCTCTGGCCCCTGAATGTTAATGACTCATTTCACCGAAGAACTTGTCTGAGTCAGGACGAAAATATGTAAGGGGGGCCCCTCTGGACCTCATGTCACTTGAGATGAAAAATGTTATGCTGCCTCCATACTATAACAATCTGAGACTATAAACAATGATTTAATTAATGACCAGAGAAGAATACTTGCTCACTGATGTTACGTGGTCCAAAACCCCATAACTGACGCAACGTGAAGCCAGTGTTTACATGGGCACAGACGACGGGAACCTAACATTTGGATGGCAACTGCCGCTTGGGAGAGCAGTAAACAATGACATTTCATCCCCAAGGCCCTCTGGAGGAGAAGCAGGGTGAGGACGGTGGAGCTTGGGAGAGGGGCCGGCTCTGGCAGGGAAGGAAATGGCCGGATTTAGACAGGAAGAGAAGGAGAATCACTGTGGAATCCAAGGCCCGGCCAGCTCGGCGGCTACTATTACCTCCTTGGATTTTCCAAGTTCTGTGCTCAGAGCTTTTCAATGGAAAGCGCTGTATTCTATGGCCAGGCCCTGAAATACTCCGACTCGACTAAACTGTCTTCAAAAGGATGCTTCAAAGATTCTTATAAACAATGACTAAAACTAAATTATGGTGCAATATTAGTTGATTAAGACAAGACTTCAATTTGAGTAATTTCCATCAGCTGGACACAGACGGTGGTGAAAACAATAACCATGACTAAGTGCACACGAGCCGATGGGAAGAACTGCAGTCTGGTGGGGCAGGAATAGCACAGCGTTTGTAAAAAATGGAAAGGAACCCTGTTCTTTGTTTTTGTTTTCAGGACCACAGAATAAAGGGGGAAAGAAAAACAGGAAAAGTGGAGCTCACTCAAGATTTTCAAACGTCAACAAAGTTCCAGAAATTATTTCAAGAATGGCCTCTTCCCTCGGAGGAACATAGGGTGCATCAGCTCCCATCTCCTCGTGCCTATGGTCCTCCCACGTGTCCCCCGAAATGCAGCCAAATGCCTGAACTCCACGATCATCGGATTGCTGATCCCTACGGGGGCGAGCCAGCCAATACGCGAAAATAATTATAGAACGTGTTATTTTAGAGCCTCATGCAAATGTTCCAACGTCTGTGTAGGTCTCCACTTCTTCAAGGAGGAAATCGATACTTTCTTATAACATTGTTCCAAGCAGAAGCCGACAATTAAGGACAATGCTGAGCAAAGGGGAAGACAGGCCCAGGTTTGTTTGCTTGACTATGCACCTCTTCTCTGAGAACTTCCACCCCCGCCCCCAACGCTGAGCCCCTCAGGGTGCATATCTTCTTCTCTGTGGACTTACCTCTGTCCATACCCTATTCAGCAGGGGGAGCCCAGGCCCAAGTGGGGGTCATAGTCTTTTTTGGTAGGGAGGTGGGGGACTTAAAATCAGAGCTTAGAGCCGAGAATCAGTCTCAGATGGAGAAAGTATAAACTCCGTTCTAGTATCAGGCCCTGCCCCACAATGTGTGCATGGCAGAGGGTGGGCATTTCTGAATATGCACACACCAGAGCACAGAAGGTCTACCTACAGAGAAGAAGAATCCCATGGGGGGTAGCAAGAGACCAAGAGGGGAAAGAAAAACAGAAACCCAGCTCCTGGTCCTCCTGGGACACAACTTCCCTTCCCAGTCTACATTCTGAGTCACTCTTCTCTCCAAAACAATCCTCTCTTTAATTTCAGGGAGCAACTTTGGTTGCTTGCAACTAAAATAACCTTATTTTAAGTTACAAAAACTAGTGTGAGAACTGCAAAGCCTTCGTTGGGTCCCCTTTCCTCCACTAAGGCACACACTTTTATAAAGGATGGCTTAGGAGACAACACAAAAACAAACCACTGATGTTCATCAATACTGATATATGAGCAACAGAACATATCTCCCTTTATTAGTGTTTATCATCAACGTACTCATTTTAGGAACATCAGACGATCACCCACTCTGAGTGAGGGGGGAGGCCGGGCTCTGTCAGTGATCAAGATGAAATCAGGGTCAAAGGCAGCCTGCACAGAGTGTGCGGCCTCAGGATGGGGATAAGCCATGTGCACAGATCAATGTGACCCGGAAATGCTGTGGGCATGGATGTGCCAGGCACTGAGCTACCATCTTCCCTTGCACAACCTCTGTGCATGCTCACAGTATCTGTATGGGGCAGGTATCACTTCCTCTGCTCTGTGGGTGACATAACTCAGACCCAGACAGGTTTGGTACCCTGCAAAGGGTCGGTGGATGGTGGAGGCTGGATTTAAACTCAAGGAGTCTGGGTTAAGACTCATGGTATCTGGAGTCTACCACCTATTTGCCTCGAATGTAGAATGGAAAGAAACCCTTCATAGACTGGAGGGCCTATTCCTGCCCTCCCTGGGCCTTTCCCAAAGCACTGCTCCTTACATACAACAGGAGGCCAGTAATCAACTAACCTGTGAATATAGAAGAGCCAACAATTATTATGCTCTTCCTATGCCCCAGTCCCTGAAATAGGTACTTAACATGCATCATTTCATTAATACTTATATTTAATAAGAATCCAAGGAAGAACTATTATTCCCATTTCCATTTTGAAAATTAGAACAGGAAAGCAGGTTAGAGTTAACTGACTTAATTCGCTGTGCAGGCTACGTCACGTCGCGGGAACACATGGGACCGGAAACCTTAGCGGCTTCACACAAAGGTTCATCACACACGCTACATATGCAGTGTGGGCTGGCAAACGGCAGGGGGCAGGGTGAGCGGAAAGGCCTGTGCTTCACGTGGTCCCTGAGGGACCCAGGCAGATGAGGTCGCTCCATTTCATGACTCTCCCACCATGGGGCTTAGCGTGCACGTGAGCCGGAGAGAACACGGGCATCACCGCAGCAGCTCTTACATGCATGAACCCAGAGATGAGCCAGGTGGGTTTTGCGTACAGACTACTGGCCAGAACCAGTGTGGAGGCCCCAGGGGGCCGCAGGGCACCGGGGATGCTGAGTGAGCCTGTGGGTATCTGGAGCACAGCCCAGGGCTCCGCCACAGGGATGCTCCCAGCCACCCAGCCACTGAGCAGTACAGCAAAGGGGCTTAGCCGCTCCACTTGACTTTGTCCTCAAACTTTATACGCATATTTTGGGAGAAGTTGCTCCGAGTTTATCAAAAGTCATCTAGGAACACCCAGACCTTATCTTAGAATGCCCAGCCTTCGCCTAGAATCCTCGCCTCCTCATGACTACCTTGATTTCCGCACGTCCAGGAGGAGGCGCGCAGAGCCGCCCGTCGCAGGACCCACCTTTGTTGGCGCAGGCCATCCACTTGAGGTTGTCTGCAAAGGCCGCCTCCCGTCCGATGAGGTAGGTGAAGATGCGCACCTGCGAGGAAGGCAAACCACGGTCAATGGCATTCACGTCTCTCTGCCCCGCACACACCACACTCCGGCTCACACACATGTGGTTCACCTCGTGAATGCTCCACGCTTCCCATCTGGAGGAACATATTTAAAACATTTGAAGTACAGTCAGCTTGAAATATATTCAAAACCGGGGCCTTTGATCTTTTTTGCCATATGGCACTGGTGGCGGTTGTTTTTCGGTGTGCGGCCCGCGGCAGAGGGTTACCACGGGGAAGGGGAGACGGGCGACAGCCCGGCTGGGGTGTGCTGCACACATATGGACACGAGCATCCAGGTCTGGACCAAATCCGCACAGGAAATGCAGAGTGTGCTCTTCTGGGGAATAAAAACGCCACGAAAGACCCTCAGCATTTCCCCCCGGTGGTGAGGACAGGCTGCAGGCGCTCTCTGGCCGTCTGCGGTCTCTGGCTGGGTTTGAGGAGGTAAATGACCGACAAGAGGCACAGCCTGCGGCCAGGAGGCCAGGGCAGACCCTCTCAAGCCCTCCTGAGGCGCGGAGAACACATGTCAAGCTTCGGTTCTGTTATCCCTTATTGCTTTCCTAACCCTCTCTCGGGAGGCCAGAATGCACTGTTTGTTTGTTTTTATTATAGTTGACATAAAATATATATTGGTCTCATAGTGATTTGACATTTATAATCCTCACAATATGATCACCCCAACAGGTCTAGAACCCATCTATCACCGTACAAAGTTAGTACAATAATATTGACTCTTTCCTGGACGCTGTACATGATGTCCCCATTACTTTTTCTTTGAAACTGGAGGTCCCTACCTCTTACTCACTTTCACGCTTCGCACATCTCTTCCCACCGGCCACCGGCAGTGTGCTCTCTGTTTCTGTTTTGTTTTGTTTGTTTTGTTTCAGACTTGACACGTGGGGGAAATCGTACAGTGTTTGGAGGAGATGGACAGAAATGGGAACCCTTGTGCACTGTTGGTGGGATGGCAGCCGCTATGAATACAGAGGTTCCTCAAATAATTAAAAATAAAACTACCATACAACCCAGAAACCCCACATCGGGGTTTCTATCCAAAGGAAACAAAAACATTAATTTGAAAAGATACGCAGTGTGGGACAAAAGTAGGTTTACTGTTGTGAGTACACGAAACACAGAGCTTATTCTAATATTATTATTTATTAATTATAGTATTACTTTCCACAGGAACACAGTAAACCTCCTTTTGCCCACCCTGTATGTACCCCTCTATCACTGCAGCATTGCTTACAATAGCCAACATATGGAAGCCACCCGGCTGCCCATCGGCAGGTGAGTGGACACAGAAGATACGATGTGGACAGAGAGGGATCAGATATGGACACACAGAGAGAGAACAGAACACTACTCTTGCCATTGAAATCCTGAAAGAATGAAATCCTGCCATTTGCAACAACAGGGATGTAGGTACTATGCTAAGTGAAATAGTCAGAATTCTTTGAAATAAACCACAACGCCCCACCCAAAGTGGTACTCGAGGGTGAGATAGAAGAAAAATAAGGAATTAAAAGGGTTAAAGCCCCTTCATTACGATGTAAAATGATATGTGGGTCAACACTACACAGTCCAAATAAAAGTCTCTGGCAGGCCAAGGTCAGCCTTCGGTCGCCTCCGAGGCTGGGTGAAGTGAGGACACGGCAGGGATGAATAGTGTTTACAGGTGACACCACAGGCTTCCCCAGCGAGGCCCCTTGCCACGGGCTGGGACGTGATGGAGCACAGCACTGGGAAGATGACAAGTCAAGACATGATTGTGTAAAAATACACAGATTCTCAAAAATGAAGATTTTGTTCTAATTAGGCATATCCTCTTATCTGGGAATTATAACTTGAAGAGTAGCTTTGTTTTTTTTAAATCTTTTTTTATTTTCAATCGTTGAAAGTATTACAGATGTTCCCCCTTTTTCCCCATTGACCCCCTCCTGTGGTTTTTAGGTGATGGTTGATTTCTAACTAAAAAGATGTTTAAAAATATGTATAGTCATGATGTAGCCTTAGTGTGTCCTCATTTTGGGTTGGTAAGGCCGTTGTTCCCTCCGTCACAGCCCCTGCGGGGGCCTCCCGGGGACGAGAGGCAAAGCCGGGGCCTCTCTCCTGCCCTGGCTCTTTTCACACTGTTCGCACTGGAAGGACTTTTCTTTAAACTGGGAGGTTCTGGCTTCTCTCGGTTAGGGGTGGAGGAGAGAAGATTCAGCCTCATGTAGCCAAAGTGGTTGCCACTGACCCTTCATCACAGAGCTGTCTCCTGCTCACTTTTTCTGTCTGGCCATTGTTGGCATTTAGCTGAAAATATCTGATTTAGGGAAAACTAAGGCCCACTGAAATTAGGTGATTTGATTAGTTTCAAGTCCTGATCTAATCAGAGGTCTCTCTGATTCCAAAGACCTCAGGATAACACTGGGGTCTCATTTATCCTCCAGGAGACGCTGGCTCTGCCAATACGGAAATCCCCAGCCAGCTCCCAGGTCCAGAGCCAGCACCCACTGGGGAGCGGATTGGCATCCAGGCTCCCGAGACCAGACCCGTGCTGTTTTCCAACACTTCGCCTTTCCTTTCCAATGTAAGTTATTTAAAGGGGAAACACTAGATTGATAAAGACTTGCATGCCCACTGGCTCTTAACCGAGCAGAAAGCATGCTAGACGGCTCCGAGGAAATGGAGCTAGGAGTCTGTCTCACAGGCAAAGCAAAAAAAGACCCGACACAAAGCAACCCACTTGGTTCTGAGTCAAGGTGTGCGTGCCAAACGCCCTCTGCCATCCAGATGAAGAACCACAGGATGAGCTGAGTTCTCTCGGGGGCACAGTTAAAGCTGCAGAACAATGCCCTGAATCACTGGCAGGACTCCGTAGTTTCTGATTTTAAAAGATGGCAACCCGTTTGGAAAACCAGTAGGATGGTGCCAAACTTCAGACCAGATTGCTCAAGAATAATTGTGCTGACAATCATCACAATAATGAAAACCAGCCCACACCCCTGCACCACCACCACTGTGGCTTCCACAGTCAGCACCTCCCCTGGGTCAGGTAGGCGCTAAGGGGTGGATAGCACTACATTTGTTTTGTTGGCTTGTGGAAGAAAATCAGAATCATCTTTAATATTCCCACGTCTGTGCGACCCTGAGCTCCCAGTGGCCTCCTTACCGGAGTAGAAATGGCTTGGAAATGACTTGCTGCATCTCTGCCTATAAAATAAACATAATCAAATGATACTGGGTTCACACCCTGGGCTTCTCACAATAATGCCTTTCCACAGGCAACAACAAAAAAGAGATGTAATGAAAATAAATATTTTGAAGAGCAATTGAACAATACTCATAGCATTTATAATTGTAATTTGATTTTAGAACCAGTAATTCTACCTCAAGGCATTTATCGTATAGCCAGAGAAGCACATGAAATGCCCATGTGGGCCAAGCTGGGAGCAAAGCTGACAGGAAGGGGCAGGAGCCATGCAGACGCCTGCCTCCTTCAAGTGCTGTGAATTCCGTGTTATAAGTTTTTACAAATACACAAAGGATAAAGGTACAAGGATGCTCAGCTTCATTATTTGTAAGGGTGAAAAACGGTTCAATCTTAGGTGTCTCTTGCTAGATGATTGGCTAAAAGCCTGCAGCACAGTCCTGCAGGGGAGCACCACGCCACTGTGAACTCACGCAGAAAGACATCGTTATGAATTGGTAAGGGGAAAAAGCAAGCTGTAGGATATTGGGTAGCATGGAATCCTATTTGTTCTAAAAAGGGACTTGCCCTTGTTATTTCAGAAATTTCCATTTCATTCGGATGGTTTTACACATGAACAAATATTGCTTTAATAATTAAGGATGCCTTAAAATGCAACGGAAGCCCGGACGCCGCTCCCCGGAACCGCCCCGGGAGGACCCAGGAAGCACACTTAGCAGCAGAGAGCAAGCACAGGAGAGACACTGCGTGGAACTAAACCTGGCCCTGCGTCTTCCCAGGTGGGCCGCTTTACTCCCCAGCTCGGTCAGCTGAGTGCAAAACCTCTCAGCACCAGGCTCAAATTGCTCCTCATTTCCATCCCTAACAGATCCGATGACCTGATGGATTTTATTTCCAAGGTTTGGAAACTTCTTCCCTAGGGAGTGCCATCAAGTAAACTTTCGCAAACCTGCCTGGAGTCCAGCTCCTCTCCTGATGTGGCAGGGCGCCCCAGCAGGGGCAGAGGGTGGTCCTGAACGCCAGGCGCAGGGCGCGGACTGGCAGGAGGAGCCTTCGGTGCAGGGCAGACCAGGGCTGTCCTCGGGACACACCGAAGTCCCCCAGAGCCAGGCCTGGGCGCTCGTCGTCCGCAGGCACCAAGGCACCACTTTCATTAACGGCGCACAAAGGCGGTGGAAAAAGTCCTGCGTCAACTTGTTACTTCATTTTGATCTTCCATTTAAGTTTGGATGTTTTCAAATGTTCTACAAACCCAATTAGGCTTAATAAAATGTTAAGATGTGGACATTTCGAAGTTCAAAGTCACTGAACTTAATCTACTTAGTATAAAATTTCCCAAATGAAACAAAACAAAAACAATCCAGTTTTGCCAAAAACCAGATTTATGCTTCTTACTCATATAGATGCAATGCCCAGCAAAAACCTGGAGGGGCGTCATTCCTTTCAACTTTTGGTGAACGTAGGTAGATGGAGTTTGCACAGACCATGAGTCAGATTCTCTCCTTTCTGCAACCATTAGAATAGCGCAGGGGAAGGAGCCGCCGGTGGAGCTACAATGGAGCAATTCATTGCACAGCCAGAGACAGGCTGCTGCCACTCAAACAGGTCCCCAGGAGTGAATGGGAAATCACCACACCCCTGCTTCTGAGACAGCCCAAGAGCAGCAGTTCACTCCCCATCACAAGTAACTTCCAAGCACCTGCGCTGTGCCAGGGACCATTCTTGGTGTTGAGGATATGATGCATAAATAAACAAACTCACTGTCCTCGGGGAGTTTAG